CCAAGGCTATGGAAAGCACTTCTGTCATTGATCGTTGTGGGGGATACCCTAATGTCCCATTACATGGATTCAGAGGAGGTATAACCTACAGTCTTTTTTTAGCTTTGCGACAATTCGGTCGTGCTTGGAGAGATGTTCCTCATGAGCTACTTCTTACAGATATTGCTTTTGGCTACAAGGAAGATGTTGACGAGCATCACCGAAAGTTTATACGAGCTTGGGGCATGGTGAACAGGTCTGACCCTCAAGAGCTAGGACCAAGGACTTCTCTCCCTATCCATCCTTATCTCCAGTAGGTCCTAGCTCGTGCTCAGAAGCTTGGGATGCCTTATGAAGCTATGTGGCCGGTGATTGTGGAGCCCACCAATGAAGAGGGCATTCCTTATACAGTCCTTTATCCCTACATGCCCATTGATCTTGGAGCATTGAAGGGATCCTGGATTCAAATGAAAGAGGAGAGGGATACCTACCAAGAGAAGTACCATGAGCAAGAGAGAAAGATCTTGAAGCTCACCAGGAAACCCGAGAATGACAGAATGATCAATGACTACATCAGCACGAAGGGGAAGCGTCCATGGGATTTCTGATATTACTTTTTTCTAGTTTAGATTTGTTTTTCATTTACTTCTTTTTAAACTCCTTAAAGGCATTATTGAACCTTTTTACAAGTTTAATCTAATAAAGTTTGTTTATTTTTTTTTTTGGGTTTGCAAATTTAAATCTCCCAAAGTCTTTAAAATCATTACATACGCATCCCATTTTCATACACACCATTACAGGTACCATTACAGGTTTCTCATCTTCTTCGTTGTTTATTTTAGCATGAAATGTCTTCCGATCAAGCTATCAAAGATCTTCAGGCACAAAATGCCCAATTCCAAGAGATGTTCTTGAGCTTGGCTAAAGGACAAGAGAACTTGAAAGATCTCATTCTGAAAGAGAAATAGAAAGAGAATAAGAAGAAGAAGAAGGTCATTCTTATGAGTATGGGAAAAAGGTTTGGGGATAGGTTGAAACAGCAAGCTGATCTGTCCTTTTCATCCAAGGGAGAGGAGGACCGAGAAGAAGAAAAGGGCCCCAGTCCTGCAGTTTCTAATAATGATACAAATTATGATGAGGAACAGTATCCTTCTGCTGAGGATAGGTACAAGCAACTTGAAGACCGTCTGAGTGCTATGGAGATTCAGAAGATCCCTGGTTTGGATTTTGGAGAGCTAGGACTGGTATCGGGAGTGGTGATCCCTCATAAGTTCAAAGCTCCTGTTTTTGCCAAATACGATTGAGTATCCTGCCCAAAACTCCATCCCCGCTCGTACGTCAGAAAAATCCAACCCCACACTGCTAATAGAAATTTGTGGGTGCATTTCCTTCAAGATAGTCTGTCAGGGACTCAGCTTGAATGGTTTTATCAGTTGGAAGGAGCTAACATCCGAAACTGGGAGGACCTTGCTACTGCTTTCTACAGTCAGTACCAATATAACACCGACCTTGCTCCCGCTCGTACTCAGCTTCAAGGTATGTCTATGGGTGCAAGTGAAGGTTTTAAGGACTATGCTTATAAGTGGAGAGATTTAGCCGGAAGAGTCCAACCCCCTTTGTCTGACAGGGAGTTGGTTGACATGTTTCTAGGGACGTTGTCTGGTCCATTTTTCAATCATTTGATCGGTAGCTCGTCGTCTGGGTTTACTGAGTTGATCTTGACTGGGGAGAGAGTAGAAGTTGGTATCCGAAGTGGTAAGATACAGAAGGATACATCGTCAAGTGCAGTAAAGAAGCCTTTCACTGGTAAGAAAGAAGCTAGTGCAGTTTACGGCCCGAGGGGCCAAAGCAGACCTGAACACCGTCAAGCAGTGAATGCGGTAATGATATCAAGACCCACAGTTGCTCCACAACGCAAAAATAAACAGAGGGTGGAAAGATCACATAAATAGTTCACTCGGGTGAATATGACCTTGTCTCAAATTCTACCACAATTATTGAAGACCAACCTGGTAACTCTGAGGGAAGCCCCGAAGAATCCCAACACCATATCTCCGCTATATAACCCGAATGCTCGCTGCGCCTATCACTCTGATGGCCCAGGTCATGATACAAACAATTTTTGGGCCTTGAAGAATAAGGTGCAAGACTTGATTGAAGCTAAAGAGATTGAGTTTGACGCTCCGGAGAAACCCAATGTCATAACTGCTCCTATGCCCAAACACGGTCAGGGAGTAAATGCTGTGGACGACAATTTATTTGTGACTTCTGTGGAAGAAATTTCTTTTCCTTTGATGACTGTAAAGAAGAATCTATTATTGGCCGGTTTATTTCCAGGCTGTGGCGAAGGTTGCCAAGTGTGTTCAATTCTGCCTGCTGGTTGCCATTTATTAAAATCAGGTGTTCAACGCCTGATGGATAACAAAGAGATCCTGTTCAAAAAGACTATAATTCCGTTGGTTCCAATTGAAGAAGTTGCCATCATAACCATTTCCGCCAATCCTTCCAAGGCTTCCTCGAGAAAGCCTGTTAGGATTACACTCGTTCCAAGAGTTGCTCTGTTAATAATTACTGTCCCTGGTCCTATCCCATACGCTTCGGATAAGTCTGTCCCTTGGCACTATGGGGCTGATGTGTATTACCATGGAGTTAAGCAAGACTTAAAGATTAAAGAAGCTGATGCTGATGTCAGCAATATTGTCGGGGCTAGCAAGGTCACCAGAAGTGGAAGACTCATTTCTCCCGAGATTTCCCCTCTGATTATTCACAAACCTGTTGTTATTCCATCTGCTAGTACATCAGTTACTGTCCCAGTTCCTATTCCAGTTATCACCCATGTCGCCAAGTCATCTGGGACTCGGGGCAAAGAAATCACAGGTGAACCTGCCCGGACGGAGGAACCTAAGAAGATCATTGTAGAAACCTTTAAGCTGGAGATAGAGGAAATTCTGAAGATTATCCAGAAAAGGGACTACAACATAGTCGAGCAGCTAGGGCAGACCCGTCAAAAATCTCCATGTTGTCCTTGTTATTGTGTTCTGAAGCCCATGCAAAGGCTTTAATTGCTTTCCTCAAAATTGTGCATGTGCCGCAGGAAACTTCTGTCGATCAATTCAAAGACTGCGTAGCTAGTTTGACTGCCGATAACGGGTTGGGTTTCTCAGACGCATATCTGACTACTAAAGGAAGAAATCATAATGATGCTCTGCAAGTCTCGATCGAGTGCAAGGGCACTACTATGGCCCATGTACTGGTGGATACCGGGTCCTCATTGAATGTTTTACCAAAGAAAGCATTAGACCGTCTGGACTGTGAAGGTTTGATTCTGAAGCCGAGCAATATTGTGGTCAGGGCTTTCGACGGGTCCAAAAGGATGGTGCACGGGTGTTGCACCCCAAAATTTTCCCTCCTAATTTCTTTTATTTTGGCTTAGACTTTTGCATTCATCTGCATCTATTTCATTAGGTCACTAACATGACATATATTTCATTCAATATAGCTCTGAGGATTCAAAGTCCAGTGGTTGTGCGATACTAGGGTTTCCCAGTGGGTAAGGTGCTCGTATCCAATAAGGGATGATTTCTTATTCAGGCAGCAAGCTGTGGAATTAGGGTTTTGGTTCATTCTCATTTTTGGATTTCTTCTCCATCAAGCTACAAGGCTATTATCTTCTTCTGAACAATAGGTTGCAGGGTATTCCTGTCAATAATGTAATGTTGTGATCTCGGTACATGATTCAAAACACCTCATTCTATCATTGTGCTTATCATTTGGTCAAGGTTTTGACAATACTAGAGGGGTATTAAGATTTTTCTAAAGGATCAAGATCTGTTATCAATCCAGGATGCATATGATGCTTGCATTACAGGTTGTTGACTATGTCATTGTTGCATTAAGTTAATCTATCCTTAAGTTAATCAATCAGGATTGGGGACGTCATGATTCAAGATATTTTGTATGGTAAATTTGGTTGCTTGACAGTCAAGGCATTACGAATAATTGGTACAAGCTATTGTTTGGATATTTGTACAAGAACTTTGGTTTGAAACATGGATTAAGGTTCAACTTGATAAATAAAAAAAAGGAAATAGCATGCCCGAAGGTTTATTTCATAAATTCTTGTGGAGGAAGATGGCACATGAATATAAGTTGAGATTAAAGTACATGGTATCAAGTAAATCTCTTCATGATTCAAGTTGTTATTTTCAAGATTTATCCCACATTATTGTTCATCCCAAGGTAAAATATAAAAAGATTCATTTAAATAACATTCGAGTGTTTATCATGTTTGTCTCAAGTTCATTCAAGTATCCATTCAAGCTCAAACTGAATGAGAGAAATGTTTTGAATAATTGGAAATTTGTCATGCAAGAAGTTATAAACTTTTGTTCATTACAAATTCAAGTCATTACACCGAAGTTAAAAAAGACATCTCAATCATCAAAGTTTCGCAATCCAAGTACAAATCATCATCATTTTTACAAATATGTCATCATTCAAGGTTAAAAGTCAAGGGTCTCCATTCATGCGAGTTTGAGGTGCGAGGTGTTTAAAATTGGAAGTTCAAACATCGAAATTTGAGTTTTAAGATCCAAAGTATGGTGTACAAGTTTGTTTGAACCAAAGCTCTTATAGGAATATGGCATACAAGGGAAATTTTGATTCAAGTTCTTGTGAAAACACATAAGACACTCATCATGGAGTACCATGGATTAAATTTGAGGTCGGATGGATAGAATCCTTAATTTGACTAAAAAGTGATCAAGGCCTCCATTTACCGAGAGCTAAGAAATTTAAAGAATGTTTAGAAGTGTCATAATTCAAGAGGATCCATCTTGCAAAAAACTCATAAATAATAGACATGGAATTTTGAATTGTAGCAAGTTTCAGCATATTCAAGTTCTACCAGTTACATCTCATTCAAGCCTCTGCTTTGACTACATAATTCTCAAAACATACAAAAGGCCACAAATTTACAAAAGAAATCAAATTTCTATTACAAGTCGGAACTATTCCCATCCATGGTCATTCAAATTATTCAAAATCACTCAAGTTCAATCATTCGAGCGTCTTTCATTCACTCATATTACAGTATATGTCATTTCGAGATTTCAAAACAAAGTTACAAAGGTCCAAATAAACTTTTACAAAAAAAAAGAAAAAGGGAAAAACATGGGAGAAACTTCAACTTGCTGCAAGGGTTATTGTTGCAATTGAGAATCCTCAGGATATTATTGTTCAATCTGCTAGACCTTATGGACAGAGAGCTGTTCTCAAATTTGCTCAATATACTGGTGCTCATGCTATCGCTGGAAGATACATTCCTGGAATTTTTACTAATCAGCTTCAAACTTCATTCAGCAAGCCGCGTCGTCTCATCCTCACTGACCCAAGAACTGATCACCAGCCAAGTAAAGAAGCAGCTCTTGGGTATATTCCCACAATTGCTTTCTGTGACACTGATTCTCCTATGCGATATGTTGACATTGGAATTCCTGCCAACAACAAAGGGAAGCATAGCATAGGTTGTCTCTTTTGGCTTTTGGCTAGAATGGTGTTGCAGATGCGTGGTACAATTCGCCCTGGTCTTAAATGGGATGTCATGGTGGATCTATTCTTCTATAGAGAACCAGAGGAGGCTAAACAGGAAGAGGAGGATGAAGTTCCTGCTCCAGACTATGCCATTGCTGACTTCAATGCAACAGCTAACCCCATTGATGGTCAGTAGCCTGCTGCAATCGATCACTCATGGTCTGATGCTGTTCCACCACCACAACAAACATCCGTTCCCGGAGTTGAAACTATCAAAGCAACCAGTTCAGCCCTGCATAGAAAAATTAAAAAAAAAAACAAAAATCAATACACAGTTAACAGTACATAACTAACTTGTAACCATAACAAACTTCTAACCAAAACTTCTCAACAGAATTCAAAAAAATTAAACTCCAAATCAAGTTTTAACTAACTTCCAAAACAACCAATCCCTAACTAACCTTTTCCTAATTGTTTCTAACTAAATAATAACTGCCTTCTAACAGATTTACTAACTTCCTAATTGGTAACAAAGCCCATAAATGATTCCCTAACTAACTTCTACTAAATGCCTAACAGAGTAACAAACTCCTCTAACAGTTTCTAACTCCTAACCGTCATAACCAATCTCTAACAGAATGCCAACTTTTCTAACTAACTCTATAACTCCTAATTGAAAACAAACTCAAAAAATAGGAGATTATAAAAGAAAGGTCCATAACAGATGGCAGGGGGGGGGATTCAGATTCATTATTTTTTCAACTCTAAAGAATAGATTTAAATATAAAAACTTACCGATTCATATTGATTGGGCATTTTTTTTCTACAGAAGAATCCCCATAGACATCTTCCTTCTTCCCTCCCTGTCATCTTCATCTTCATATTCTCTCTTCACCCTTCATTTCTTAAAAAATCCAATAATCTTCATTCTTGATTCTTCGTTCTTCTGAGAATCGCCACAATCTTCAACAAACTCTCTCTTATCCTCTAATCTTCATCATCATCTTTAGTCCTTGAACCTTTTTCTACAATTATCAACGAACTCCTACAATTCACCAATCACAGGGCCTTCATCCTATATCACCATAAGCGTTATCTGATTATTCATCATCAAAATCATAACAACTCTGATCTGTTCCTTCGCAGAAACTCCGATCTGTTCCTTCGCAGAAAATCCGCAATATCAATAGTAACTTCACAGGATTGAAGATTTTCATTGCTTCAACGCATAATCACTGTGTCAATGCAAAAACAAAATTAGGAAACAAAATAAAAGAAGGGCGATAGAAGGACGAATCAAAAGCGATTCGAGATATACATACATGAGCAATTATTGAAGATGCTCTCCGACTTCTCATCATCTCCGTCGCGCTTGAAACACCATCGAAGCGACTCAAAAAAATAATTGGAATCTGAGATCGGAGCAAGTTCGCACAGAAGAAGCCGCGCTGTTGAAGTTGGATCAGAGATGCTTGCAAAAGTGAAGCGAATCGGAGACGAAGATTTGTGGAGAAGCCGCACCGTCAAGATGGAGAGGACGAGCACGAGAACAAACATGAGTTCTTGAAATAACATCCTCTGGCCATTTCGTCATTGACAGTGATCTCGTTGATTGAAGGACCATCGGAGTTTACTTCCATTCGTTGATTGAAGAGAATCAGAATTAGACGAAGGTTGAACATGTTGATGATGGTTGAACTAAGATAGAGGTGAAGTTCGAAGAAGAAATGCACTGCGGTGGGAATGAGAAGAGAAGGTCGCGCCGCTGTAAAGAGAAGAGGAGGGAGTGCATTGGTGTTTCATAAAGAAGCTAGAGAGCCACAATTGGTTCAACCCTAATCTTATCAAAACGACAGTGTATCATACCTTTCTTTTAATTTTATTTTTTTATTATTATTGAAACAAAATGTTGAAAGTTGTTGAGGAATTGGAGTGTGGACCTTGGGATTTCTATGGACCAGACCAACTTCTTTTAATTAGGCCCATTGCACAAGTTTCTTTGGAATGCTGAAGCTTTGGCATAAAACTAACACCATGGATCATACTACTGGGCCTCAGCGCCAGCTTTCTTCATCATAGACTGTTTCTGGACGGCAACCCCTAAAGCCCATAACAATTGTTTTTGGCAGCCTGATTGCTTGCAACAAAAATTTGAATGTAGCCTATTTAGCTGGGCCTAGTGCCCAAATTTCTTCTATACCCCCTGCATTCCATTTACACCCCCTTGTCCTCGTAATTTTCAAGATTTTATTTCGCATATAATCTTGTCTATTGTTTTTTGTGATAAAAATTCTAAAATCCATAAAAAAAAAACTTATTAGTTTTTTTAGGGATCAATTCTCGTTTGTTTGTTAGAATTTTCTCTAAAAAAATAAATAATAAAAAAGTGGTAGTATATAATAGAATTTTTTTCTCTAGAATTTCTTTTTTAGAATTTTAATTAGAATCTTCTATTAGCATTTATGTTCAGTAACCATTTTCGTTTTCATCCTTAGTTAAGATTTTGTTCGGATATTGAGGTAACTTTCGCAAAGGGAAATGCTTGGATATTAATTTTCGATCACTCATGCGGAGTAAATTCTGCAGAGTTTTCTTACCACTTGCGGGGCTTTGAAGAGGCAACGGACCTTCTCCGTTCGGTATCGTCCTAACCCTATTTTACTCCCCATTTCGCACTTTAATGCATTTCTTTACTACTTGCTAATATTAGATAGAATTCCCTCGAGAAACCGAATCTTATGGCTAATAATGCACAATAACATTAGGTTTAGAAGTAGGCTAGTCCCCTTTTGACTTTTCTTTCTCCTTTCGCATACGGATTTAAAACAAAAACTTCTTATTCTTTTCAAAAATTCAAAACACTTTAAAACTACTGAAAAGAATCATATCTTTGTTAAGTATATGAGACGATCAACGGGTTTCTTCTCGACCTTATTATTCTCTTGTTCTAAGATTTGGTATGATTCAAGTCTCAAAGACTCATTTCATGAATAAGTAGAGACATGGCTAAAATCTCTCTCTTGAGATCAACTAGCTACTATCTACAAGCAAAAATACCAACCAATACAAACTCTTTTTTCCTTCGAGCCCTTCCTTTCAAACTCTTTTCAAAAGAGCGTACTAATTCACTTCTGTGCTGACGCGTAAATCTCCAAAGGTCGAGTTGCGGCAGAAGGCGAAATTACTATCGTTCATTCAAAAACAAACAAATTTAACCTTTTTTTGTGTGTCAAGGCACATTTCTTTCCAAACTTTTCATAAGAGCATGTTAATTCACTTCTGCGCTGACGCGTAAGTCTCCAACGGTCGAGTTGCGGCAGAAGGCGAAATTAATACTGTTCAGTAAAAAATACAAACAAACAAAAACATATAAGCCGAACTACGGCTACTCTGATTCCTTAAAAGGGATACGTAGGCATTGGGGTAGGGCCCAAGCGAGCACAACTTTTCTTTTCCCTACATTCTTTTCCCTTTTCTTTTGCATGCATTCTCCAGTAGCAATAATAAACAGTAAGCGTACACCAAACACACCCATAAGATAGATAATAAGAGTGGATACCGTAGAGTACTACGGGCGTGTGGGGTGCTAATACCTTCCCCTCGCGTAACAGACTCCCTTACCCTTATCTCTTGGTCGTTCGACCTTGATTTCATCCTCCTCGGGTTTTCTCGATGTTTACCTTTCCCTACATGTGGGATAAAAGACGTTCGATGGAGACTTCATTGTTTTGATGATTTTCAGCCGGTTGTTTCAGCTGGCGACTTCATTGGGGACAGGTCGACCAAATGCTGGTCCATCCCGGAGTCGCTCCTGGCTCTTGCTTTCTTTTCTTTGGGTGTTTATTGTTATGCTTTCAGTTTACTCATTTGTAGATGTTTGCCTGAGCATAAGTTTGCATTGCATTTTATTGCTTTCCCTATTTGTTATCTATTATGCTGGACTCTATTTTCCATGTTGGGTGGGGATGTCACTATTGAGGTAAAAGGCCCAGTACCCAGGCCAGAGTGCACTAGGACACTAAGAATAGAGTGGGGGGATGACGGCTATAGGACGTGGTCCGATTAGTGCAGTCTTGTCATATACCATGCTCGGATGAGGTTCAAATGAATTACTATCGGCACCCACATTTGTGGGTAAGCCCATAGTGCTTTCAGGCGGACCCGTGACTTTCGAGTTACCATTGTCTTACCCTGACCTAGTCTTCACCCGTGAGTGGGGAGGGATTTGTCATTACAGGTACAGTTGGTGCTATGTTCAAATGGTTACTCATGCTCAGATGGAGACTGTGATCGGATGGTGATTAGTGGTTCTAATGATCATGTTATGGACTTCTGTCAATGACTTATGCATATGGTGTTCTGTTGGTGACCATATGGTTCTCAGATTTATTTTATGAGTTCCTGACTTGCTTACTTGGAAGTTCATCCAAGCCTTTAATCTTGGTATTCCCAGCATATTAAGGAATACTCCACAGTACCTGATGTTCCTGAAGCCTTGATCTCATGCTACTTAGATCTACATAGTACTTAGATCTTATATGTGCAGAAGCTGTGCCGGACCTCTAAATTGGTGATATTCATTTGGTTCAGAAGCAGTGCAACAATCATACCCAGAAATGATAGAACCTTGAACCCATTTGATCTCACGCCTTTGCATACATAACATGGTTGACCACATACTTAGCATACATATTCTATGATTTCCAAGGAATCGTATTTGTAAGCCTTATGCCAAACTTTTCCATACGTAAAATCAAAGCACGTAAATTCCTTGGGAATGAAGGGACATAATATGGCATCTATTCATGCACTCCATGTATATTCATGCATCCATAACAGGTACTCAAATATTGGGGATTCTTATTCAGACATGGTTCTCCGCGGAGGTTTAGCTTTGATTTCTTACTGCACTTGTTCAGGGATCGGTTAGGGAATAACTCCATATGGTATACCTACAAGCTTTGGTCCGTGGTCAGAAATTTCTTCGAACAGGAAGATAATTGATTAAAGACTCAAGATGAACCAGGTCATGGAAGCTCTAATGATGATTAATAAACTTATGCTGCAGATCTTATATCAGTGCTTCGTTTTTGACCAACGTCAGATATGGTTGCCACACCGGGGCATCATACCTTTTAACCAGGAGCATCCTCCATAACTTTGTGTTCCCTAATTTGTTCAACAAGAGCCAGTCTTTATTCCCCAAGTAAATCCAGGGGGCAAAGCTTTTAAGCCAAGACACAAGAACCCTGATGAGCATGCTGATGCAAGCTAAATGCATAACATCCTAAGTATTCCCAGTTCTTCCCAGCTCTGATCTTTGAGGACTTCCTCCCACAAACGTCTCTTCTGATGACGATATGTATGCTTGATACATCTCCTATTCTGGGGTACCCGGTTTTGATATTAAAGACTACCAAAGGGTTGAAACATAAAGTCCAGCACCTGTTTGGCGTCTCTTCCAAAGGTCCAATTCCTTTTTGGCCGATTGTCACGCTCTCTTTCACCAGGTGGATGTCTCTTTTGTTTTGATAGAAGACAAACTGTATTAGTTTTTTATGGCGTAGTATGCCTGATGATGCAGTTTTCACTTGAAAAATAATTCAGTTGTTCTCTTGAAAGAATCTTCTAGGCATATTATTCTGGGGCAATTTATCATTCGATTGAAGAGAGTACGTCATCTAGAGACGAGGTCTAAAACGAGATCAATCTGGAGACTGTGGTGTCCAAATCTGGAATTCTCTCACTCACCTCACGCATCTTCATGAACCTTCATGCATCCATAGCAGGTACTCAGAAGATTCAAGTTATGAAAAGAATCAGATGGGGCTGTTTATTGGGGATATGCAAACGGTGGCCTGTAGTCACAAACCCTCAAGGAGAAATAGTCAGTTGAAGACCTAGTTGAGTCGGGTATGGAAGTTTTGAAGACAGTGTCGGCAAAGAAAAGTGATCTTGTTTACGTTGTTGCAACATGAGTTGTCACTCATCCCCAGCCTATGGGACTTTTTTTAAATCATGAGATACTTTGTGGGTCTAACCCAGAGCTTCGTGTTCTCAAATTTTCTTGCTAGCAGCTAGTTTCTAGTCTCCAAGTGAACCCATGAGGTAAAACTTACCAGCAGAGACAGAGAAAGCTTGAGAAACAGGTTGATACAATCTTTATACCTTGTATCCGGTTACTTTCTCATGGTGTTGGAAGCTCAGTTGATTAAGCTTCGCGCTTTGAACCATCCTCCAAAAAATTTCTCTCCTGATTTTGATACAAATGCTTGATGTGTCTCCCGTTCTGGGGCATTTAGTCAAGATATTGAATACTGCAAGGGGTTTAAGTATGAAACTTAGTACTTGCTTGGATTCTTTTCCAAGGTTCAGTCCACGTTTGGGAAAACCATTTCAGACTCTTTTTCCTCAGCTGATTGCTTCTTATGTGTAAGTATAAGATGGGGTGACGCTTCTGTGATGAAAAGTATAAGATATCGAGTTCTTAGATATCTGCTGCTGTGTAGAAGAAAAATACCTCAAAGATCGAATGCTATATTCAGAGTTTAGTTTCT